TCCCCAAAATTGGATTGGGGATCATCGGTCCAATTCACAGGTGCCTTTGTTGAAGGATGAGGAGCGTGGCCGGCGAATAAGTCGACCAACTTCTGCTGGATGGAACTGATCTGACTCGGCCCTACTTATATGACGAGGAGGGAGGTCAACGTTAAGAAGTAGGACTCCCGAATATTCCGCCCAACAATGCAACGCAGAGGAAATACTATGTTGCCTCGTTTTTCCTCGTTGTGAGTTTGGTGAGTTTCGTCGTGCAGACCGAAACAGCTGTGTATATTCAGCACGACTTAGGATGGGAGAAACCCTACTGCATGCTGTGAGTCTTCAATTAGAAATTAAAGGGGAAAGAAAAAGAGAGAAAAATTATGATTCGTGCTACTGGTGTTTCCAATGCTGCCTATATTTTATTCCGCATGGAATTTTTAAAATCAAATTCTAATCTCATTCCTTTTAATATTTGGTCTATAGTTATTTAACTCATGGATCGTGGATATTCCTTTGGCCCGTACAGCTACTACTACTTCGAATCCAGAAACGTAAGCTTTCATGGGATGCATTCTGGAGACGGCATATATACATTGTCCGAACCACGGCACAAATGGTCGAATCCCGGAACCTCCACCTCACCACACGAAACCTCCATCAATCGCCAGTCCGATATATCCTCCGAACCACTGCGCTGGTTGCAACTTCACTGACCGTTGCTGGTGGTTCATGGTATGTCGCCGTCAACCTAACAACCGCAAGCGATCTTACAGCAATCTACAATTGTTCTGCTTTTTTTGCGTACGCCTTCTCCATTCCACTGCTCAATGACAAACTACGACTTGACAAAGTGTTTTCTGTCGTCGTCGCCATCGTTGGCGTACTTGTCGTTGCTTATGGGCCTTCAGGTGGTTCTTCCAAGAATGGCGGTGATGCCTCAAAGGGTGCCTCGAGCAGAGCTCTCGGCAACATTATAATCGGCGTGGGTAGTGTTCTTTACGGTTTATACGAGGTCTTGTATAAGAAGCTGGCTTGTCCTCCGGAAGGCACAAGCCCGGGACGTGGTGTGATCTTTGCCAATACGTTTGCAAGTCTGATTGGGACATTTACTTTGTTTGTCCTCTGGATACCGTTGCCTATTTTGCACATCCTGGGTATTGAGACGTTCGAGTTGCCGCAGGGTAAAGCAGCAAGTCTTCTGCTTATATCCGTGATTGCAAATGCTAGTATGTTATATCTCATCTTTCATTGATGAACCTGGTCCTTTACTGTTTTCAAATAGGTGTTTCCACTATCATTCCAGCTAACCCAACAAACCCTTGCACAGCATTTTCCGGCTCCTTCCTCATCCTCATTTCCCTAACCTCCCCCGTGTTATCCTCAGTCGCTGCCCTCCTCACAATCTTCCTAGTTGCCCTCGTCGACTGGAAGCTAACAAATAAACCACTCACCTCCGCGTCGATATACGGCGGTATCCTTATCGTCATTGCTTTCCTACTCCTTAGCTGGAGTACATACCGCGAGCTTGACGAGGATAGACGGAAACGGTTAACAGAGAGTGGGCCAGATTCTGAAAGCGATGTTTAACTTAACTTTGATTCATGCCATCACCCGTCAGAGCTAGCGCTGAAGATAATACATTTCACATGAAGCGAAAATGTCGAATGCTAGATCGGTATGAGCATACGCATGTCCTTTTGCGCTGTCCTAATACCGGGCAGGGAGAACTGGCTCTCATGGATCACTCTCTCAAAATACCTTGAGGATCTACTCTCGCATATTTCGTTTTTCTTTTCTCGTTTCTTTTCTCCCCCAAACATAAATTTATTTATTCTGTGTGGTTCTCGACCGAATTCCACTTTCTCTTGCATCCTTGTTTTATTTTACCGATTCCATTTCGAACCCACTTTTATGTGGCATGGCAAACAAGACTTTAAAACAAAAAAGCAAAACAATAACAAGACGACCATATCATAACATTGTGTGCTGGGCGGCTCTATTCATACCCTCATTTTCGTCACATTTACTCTCTTCAATTCTTTTTCCTTCTCCACAACATGATCTAGACAAATTTCCTTTTTTCGGGAGGCTTAATCTTTTCCATTTACTTTTCTTGCCTTCGGTTCCTCTGTTCATATTTCCCTGAATTTGATGCATATGACATAGTAGCTGCAAGAAAGGGCGAGTCTTTCATCTCAGTGATGTTCCAATGTACCTCCACATAGCTAAGGGCTTAAGCCCTAGTGGTGAGACTTATGTACCCCACACTGCACATGAGTATATTCTTTCTTCCATTGTTTTCATCCCAGTTTTGTGCAGGTTCCATCACTTTCCCCTTTGGCATAATCTAAAATTATTACATCTCCTGCGCTGATATCCCCCTGCATTATATATCAAGATCCAGTTGATATCTTCCGTGCTCATCCTCGTTTGTACTACCAGTGTTTGGCATTCCCCAACCCCACACACATTGTATTACTTTTCGAAATTCATATACATGATGTATGTACATGTCCTTGAGTTAGGGTGTGAAATCGTATTTGTGGTTAACTTGTGGAGTTAAGTAACTGGGATAATCTAAAGGGCCGAATTGCTATTGCTAACGACAGATCTCGATATATAGATGGATAGATGGGTGCGTGGTGAACGAGTTAAGTGGCCGGTTTCGCACCCCGGTGATTTGTTAGGTATATACATATCTTCATAAATATCTACATATATTGTTTATCAATTTCATTGTGATCTCGTCTCCTTTTTCTACCCTTTTTCATTTCCCTCTGGAAACCCCACGATGACGCGACAAATGCCCCTCGCTATATGTATCACATTCACAGCTATTTGTCAAATTGCTTAAGAATTAGCTTGGAAGGAAGGGGGTTAGGTTAGCGCTGCCAGCGGCTTTTAGGTTTTGATAATGGATAATATATACCCCCTGTATATTTATATTGTACGCTACAAAAAGGAAAGAAAAGAAGGGGAAAAAACATAGTTAAAAAAAAAAGCCCTCAAAACTAACGGAACGAAATGAGATGGGAAAACGAACAAAATACAACAAAAGTAAAGGTAGCGGGGGAAGGGGGGAAGAGAACGATAATAAAATAAAACAGGCGCTCTAATCTGGACATCGAAGAATGGCGCCCCCTGCGCGAATGTGCAAGGGTTGAAAAGTAGCAATGAATCGTAAGGAAGACGCTTGTGGAGCGGAAAGTGATATTCAGGAGCGAGCTAATTCTAGATTGCGGAGAGGTCGTGAAAGCGTCATGCCAGAACTGATATATTTTCTTTTTCCCCAATGAGACCGAGGGCCATTGCTCATATGTGCCGTACCTAGTAGATCCCATTTGTAGCTATGAGTTCAAGACTTCCTTTTTCTTTTTTTTTTTTTAAAAAAAAAACGCTGAATAATATTGAATAGATAAAAGCTATCTTGGGCCGAGCTTTTCGAGGGCACGGGGACCTTGTTCTTGCCATTCTCCTTTGGAAATCCACATGTTGTCTTTGTCTGCGAGCTGCATTGCGTGGGAAGGAAAGAATGGTTAGTCTGTAGGTCATAATACATAGGAGCTAGGAATGGGGGAATGCTTACAAGGTTCGCAAGGACGGCACCCCCAAGGAAGACCATGTGTCTTCTTCGAGGTGGATCTTCGATGCGGACTTTGAATTTCTGTATATATCGAAGATGGTTAGCGTATGAGAGTGAGTTGAGTGGGAATAATATATCGAGCGTCCCCCTTTCCAAAATAAGACTCACGTTTAGTCTTTCTGGATTCCCTTGCAGCACCCTTGTCAACCAGAGTTGTTTCAACTCTTTTTCAAGTCTCGACGGCAGGCCGGGATACATGCTGCTACCCCCACTAAGAACAATAGCCTTGTACAAACTACTTCTCACATCAACATCTGCGGCTTGTATCGTGTTGAATAAAAATTCCGCTATGCCAGGTTGTTCGACATCAACAAGATGCGGTTGGAAGAGGCACTCGGGCGCTTCAAATCGCTCACTACCAACTCTGATCACTCTGCCGTCTGGAAGAGTATATGATTCTACCAGCACGGTTGTGTCTTCTGAAAGGCGTTGATCAAGCTCCAGGTCGTAGGATACATAGCAGAGCTTCTCTTTGATTTGGCGCACTGTCTCAAAGTCAGCGGTACGGTTAAGTGCGTAGCCGCGGCGGAGAAGGAGAGCAATGAGGTTGCGGGTAACATCACGACCAGCAACATCTAGACGGCGTGTTAGGTGATTTAACACAGTGGATTCGTAGACCGGCACGATGTGTGTGACGCCGTCGCCTGAATCAACGACCACACCGCTGCTGAGACCTATATTTTTCGTTCCAACGTCAGGATTTTTCACATCCTTGTTTGTATTTCGCGGGGTCCATGGTACACCTACCTTGTGCATAAAGGGCCAAAACCGCCTGTATAGCAACATATACTCCTCCAAAGTTGTAACCCTCAAACATCACTTCGCACATCTGTTCTCTGTTTTTAAGGGGATTCATCGGTGGCTCGGTCAGGAGGATCTTCCGGCCGGTGGGATCAATTTTCATTTTATCGTAAAACGTATAATTCCATAGGTGTTGCATGTCATCCCACTTCTTTACAATTCCATTCTCCATCTATAAATGAAGTAGCACGACGGATTAGCGATCCAAGCACATCAAGGCAAACATTAAGAACAGGTGTGAAAATAGGAGAGGTACACATACAGGATAGCTAATTTGCAGCATTGATCGGGCGGCAGCAGCCTCATCCCCACACATAATATCCTTTACAATAATATCTCCAGCCTGTTCCTCTGATCTGAGAATCGGCCGCCCCACTATCGAAGGGAATTGGTGTTCGGGGAAGTTCTAGTTCAATTCGAATTGGAACCCCAGTATCAGCGATAGATGTTCATAGAGGCCAAGCACATCACTGGAAAAACCCGTACCTGTCCCGCATATCCGACTTTCAGGAAGCCGGTACCTCCATCGAGAACTGTATATCGCGGTGTTAGTGGCTGTTAGCTGCGGGGAAAATGAGGTTGGTGCTAAATATACCAATGGGGGCCTCCGCCATGGTCGCGATGCGTTATATCGGCAAACGGCAGACTGAAGAACTATCCACAGGGTAGATAAACAACGGTGGTTGGAATAGGTGGTTCGTAGCGGCGTTGTCTATTCAATTTGTGGGACTGAGGGTTCATGGAGGTGACGATGAGGTTCCCAATGAGGTTTCCAATGAGGTTTAGCGCTCTTCCTCCTCACAACTCTAGATATATCTTGTCACTGTTGAGTCGACAAGACGGCTACAGCACGTTATTTATCCTAGATCTTTATGGATATATTTTCAGGCTAGGATTTCGCCTACGCTTTGACTGCTGTCTCCTCGACCACCGATTTCTATTGTGGATTCACCGTTTTATCACGCATTGGTTCAGAGAATAGGGAGGGAAATTTCCAAGCATATAAAAACGAAGAATAAGACAAGATATATACAAATCCAAAGCAAAACACAGGAATGATTAAATGAATAGTAATAATAAAAAAATGAAAAGAATAAAACCAGAACATATGACTCCCGTAGAAAGAGAGAATTTAATTCCTTAATTTGGAGGCAAAATAATGGACACCCTTTCCGGAGCCCTTCTTGCTGCTGCACCCTAGAAATGATTAAAAATATTGTCATCCCCAAGGATACACTGAAATGATAACCATGATCTGGAAATGGAGGGGGAAAAATATAAGACTGCTATGCCATATTCATATTTTCTCAGGCCTATCGTCCTTCCTATCTTACCCATTTTATATACCCCGAACCTTTACATACATATACTACTGGCATCTGACTGCCCAGGCAGCTCACAAATGCACAAGCATCGTTCCTCGAATTTTGCTATCATTTCATTTTGATTTTGATTCAAATATATTTTTCTGTTTTACTTTGTTTTCATTTCCAAGGTGGTCATTTCATTCTCTTTCGTTCCCTTTGTTTGAATGTTAAAATATACACAATTAGCATGACCTTGATCTATGAGTATGGTGATAGATCCTACAAGGCCGTAAAAATTAATATAGAGTTTTTTTTATCCTCTCTTGACAGGAAGGCCCAGCAAAGCAAGCGTTTATGAGCGCATGATAATTGGTTTAGTTAATAACGAGTGATACTCGTACATTTTAGTGCAAGTAGTAAGTATGTATAGGAACTTAGACTCATGATCCGAGCAGCATTTTTGTCTCCGTGCTTCACTCAACTGATTTGATAGCCGCAGGATTCCCGTAGTCCCTCAATTCAGGAACGATCCTCGTCGTATCGACGAGGCCCGGATATGCCCTGGCAAAAACCGGACCCAGGGACCAGTTATTCAAGTTCCGCAAATGCCGCTCAAAGACCGGATTGATAATGAGCTCTTCGGAATCCGATGTTGAGAGAAGTGTGTCGGTCGCCTCGTATGGCCAATTTATGCTCAGCGTCGTGGTGTATGGGATGAACCAGTTTTGAAAGTCGTAGTCTTGGTACGAAGCAACCATACGATCTCGCATGCGTGGCCAGGGAAGGTAATCTATCCAAGCGGGATGTGGTGTCATTATTTGGGAAGTGCGCGGGGTGAGCCATTCCGGGAGACGGTCGTAGTTCTGTTGAGTTGGATATATCTGCCAACGCATGAGGAGGAACATCACATACAGTACGGCTACTTGCTCGGGCAGATTGCTGATACCTGGGAATTTGCTGAGAATGTCTGTGAAGACTTTTGAGAGGGGGTGAGAGTATGCGCTTTTTGCTGGGTTGAGGAGAGATGAAACGCTGGGATATGGCGGTCCTACAAGAATTTGTTTGGATGCGCCCTCTGCCGCCTCGCGTTGGCGAGTGTGAAGAAAGTCCAAAAGAATGAGGTCCACGGGACAAGTGGGATCCACATTGCGAACTGGGACCGTGTAAGGGGCAATGTTTGGGTCGAAGAGATCATTTTGAGACGAGTGAAGGTTGCGAAAACGGGTCGAATCGTTAAAGGCTGGAGAGGATGGGTTCCGCTGAGGCTGGGGGATCTTTGGGACAGGTCGAGCGGAATCCAGGAGGAAATTGAAGCCTAGTCTTTCTCCCGACCCAGAGAAGTCTAATCCATGCGAAAGTTCCTGTCGTTGGGAGTTGAAGCCATGGGTGAGTGGGTACCGGGGCTCGGAGTTCGCATGCCAATTTGGGCGGAGTGCATATCCTGGAGATTCGGTGGTTGAAGGAGAAAGAGGCTCCATGCTCCGTGGGGAATCGATAGCGCACATACCCGGCCCTGTACCCAAATCCAGACTCTCTGCTGCTGTGCGAAGAGAAGAGTCTTGGTGTGCTAGCGTTGAAAGACGGGATGCATGGGGTTCAAAATGAGAAACGGGAGAGGGTGGTTCAATGTGCGATTCGGCTGACCATGGATGACGCTCGGAGCCAGTGCTATTGGGCGCCGCTATGTTATCAGTAGAACGAGAAGTGATATTTTCTGAAGACGACGGAGGGACACCATTTACAATCGGCTGGATCATCGACATCACGGATGAGAGAATCCGCCGAATCTCCTCATTTTCCTCCTCGACTGCGCGTTTCTGGCTCAACGCAGCCTGAAGATCCTGGTATGGTTGTTGGGAGGTTAGCTCGCGCACCCGCTGTTCCAGAGTCTCAATCCGAGCTTTTGTCCTTTGCCTGATTGCGCGCTGCGCCTCACGGTCATTCGCTCGCTTCTTTGCCAGCTGCTCCGGCGTGAGGTTGGCAACACCACGAGACGGTGTAGGGACGGCGGCCTTTTTCTTCCTCCCGGCCATCAAATTGGGATTGCGTAACATTGGGTTGCCTTTGCTCTCTGGGGGAACTGCGGTCAGGCTGTAGGTGGCGTTGAGGCCGGAATACGTCGACTGGGCAGGGGGACCATCGTTGGATTCATGCTGGCGACTGTAGCCCGTCATGCCTCATCGACGGAATGCGAGCTAGCCCTGTGAGAGATATGAACCATTCCAAGCAGTTTGCAGGGGGTTTATCCCGGTGATGGCAAGGAAATATATTCTTTGCTCTGTGGATGCGATATATACTGAAAAACCCTGGCGTGCAGGGGGTAGAGGGGCTCGATTCAGGGACTGAAGTACATAAACCCGCACACACACACAAACAGTGAAAAAAAAGTCAAGCTCTTCCTTCCAGTCACAAACAGCTGGTAGAGCCCCGGGCAGTCTGCAGGCAAATTGAGGCCAGCCAGCTGAACGATCAATAGAGCTTGCGCCGCCTCTTGAGGCCGATGAACGTCGAGCCGCGGTATTTAGTTTCTCGGCACTGCTTGTCCACAGCGCCACCGACTCTCTTAAGTTACAGCGGGGCGATCGAACAACATCAGAATCGGACACCACATTTCAAAACTTCCTGTTGGCAGAAGTCTGGTTGGGGTTCTAGATAACTACTATGTAAGTGCAATTCTCGGACTCCCTGGAGCATCGCCATTATTCCCGATTTCGGCTCAACACTCGAACTCTGTCTCAGTAGTCTCTCTCGAACAAGCGAGTTAAGCCAGCTCCTGATTAACGCGTTTCTTTCCCCAAACACTGCCTCGGATCGTCAGGTTGATAAAATAGGTAACTGGCAGATTAATCACAGTCAAGTACCCCAATATCGTAAGGTGCGCGATCTGATTTGAGCAAAAGCTGGATGCACTTCCGTGTCGAAAATATTACGTCGCCACTGGAGTTTCTCAAAAGAAAGGACAAGGTCTCCAAGCTACTCGTCCCGCTTGAGAGGATGCAGCGCTTACATTTGCTGACTTCGCTCCGGCTGTGTTGCCCAGGGTGCTCTAGAAATCAGTTTAGGAGAAACTCAATCCCCCAATATCTCTAACGTTACCTAGCCAGACAGCTAGATGCAAGCTTCCCAATCAGCCTGAGCATTGATTAGCTGCCATGGGCTATTAATTCCTATGGCAACACTGCATTTCCCCCAGCTGATATGCCTAGCATAAGAGAACATTCATTAGCAGACCTCGCGATTCTCGACACATTATATCGATTGTCGGAAGGTTTATTTCAAGGCGTATACCTACAGTACATGTGTTGTCCATCTGGAAACAGATCGGACATATAGAAGACGTTGTCGAATGTTTTACGTCTGGTA